TACCCTCTCCAAACCCCCCTTTCTCCCCTCCTTCCTCCCCTCCCCCTCCTCCCCTCCCCTTCCTCCCCTCGTGAGGTTAGGTTTCCACAATGGAAGCTTAGATGAGATCAAGTGTATGCTTTAAACTGCAATAGAGCCATGTAACCTTGTATTCACAAATAACAATTTTAATCAAACTTTTTTAAATGTACTTTTGAAGGGCCTGTGTACGTAATTTCAAGTGGATCACTACACGCCTGTATGCCGAGTCCATTAGCGCCTGATCAGGGTTCAGTCATGTGTTTGATGTTTATTTTGAACCAATAGAAATAGTATGGCAGTAACATCTGTCTTTCTATCTATCTCATTATCCAATCAAAGTTATGAATCCTTTAATCGGCGCTATCAGTAAATGGTAATATTTACTTCTACCGAAATGATAGTGACTAATATATAGATTGGCACGCCCGATTAAAATTGATTCTTTTTTTCCGATTCTAAAATAGGCATTTTTAAGTATGTTTGTTTTATTTTAAAATTCTATCATTCTATCAAAATTTTATCGGCGTATTTGCATTCTTTAACTCAAATTCAGATTTAAAAAAAAAATTCATTTAAAAAAAACTAATCTTCAAATATTATATTTTTAAATACATTAATTGGCAGTTACTTCAAGTCATCCAATATTAATAAATTTTAATTAATGTATCTGATATGTGTCTCATTAATAACTTATTTATCAAACATAGGTAAATGCCCTCATTAATATAATACAAAACTTGTTTTAAAAAAAGAAAGATTCCCCAAAATTTTTTTTTTGGTTGTCCGATATTTGGCATTTTTAGTGTCGTTTAATGTTTTTTCTCTGTGTTTTTCTGAATTTTTGACATGTTTATATATTTTTTTAAGTTTATAAACATAATTGTGTTAATTTATAAAAAAAATGTTTTTTGATAATGATTCAACATTCTTTCTTGCGTTATCTAGGTCGATCTTAATGTGAAATGTGTATATTTTAATTGTTTGATTAGTCATTTAGATATCTCAATATGGCTAAAGTTAGGGATAAATATGATTATTTGTTGGAAGTTCCTTTTGAAAAAAAATTAAGAATTTCAGAATAAAACACGATTTTAAATTTGCTTAAATTGACTGCTATTGTATTCTGTTTTGGATTAGATATTTATGAATACAATTGTCTATTACATTTAGCAAAATAAGGAATATTTAAATTTATACTGTGATGCAGACCCAGTTTAGAAAATATTGGCAGCCCTGTCCTTATTCCTCAATATGGATAGTTTGGCCTTTTCAGAGCTTAATCTCCGATCCAATCCAATCTACACACCTCCAAATTTCCATAAATAGATACTAGAGTGTTTAGGAATAGATGTGGGATAGGTGCAAAACATATCGAGGGAGGGGGGGGGGTAGAGAGACATTCAAGATGAATACATAGACTGGTATTTGAATAGATTAATAAATTGAATGATTGGCCAAATGTATAAAATATTTGGACAGGTCATTTGTCAGTAAGATAAGAAGCATTTAGTTAAGAAGCATTTAAATACTAATAAAAACATTGAAATGGTGTTCAGAATGCGAATATGGTGTATTCCCGCCTCTACCGTTCTTGACAACAGCACTCCTCTCCTACCTCCCCGGATAGATAGAGATGTATTTTATCGATCCCCTCCTCCACCTCCCAGGCTTTCCAGACAACAGAAGCTGGACAGAGGGGTGATTGTGCTTAAACCAAAGAAGAATCGACTGAAGAAGGTCGAGATCAAGCAGAAGGTTGAAGCGCCAAAGAAGAGGGTGCGAAAAGTGCGTTATGCGGATCAAGAGCAGTTCTGGGTAACTCCAGAGGTGAAACCCGCCCAGAAAGTTAAAGAATCTATAGAGGAGGATAAGAAGGAGAAGGATGAGGATGTGTTCTGTGATATTTGTTGCTTCCAAGACCGGTGTACGCATGAAGAGGTTTGGAGGCAACGAGCTGAAGATCTTCTTCAGAAACAGGAAATCCAAAGGCCTCCATCCAGAGGAACCGAGGTTATCCATTCCCGTCAGCAGTCAAATACAAGTGGAACTTCTTCTTGTCTTACCCTTGGGAGTAGTCTAACTACTCCATCAAGTCATGCTTCACCATCTTCAGGGGCCTACAATCAGAATTTTGGCCTCAATGATGAGTATGGTAACCTCAGCTTTGATCGTATTAACCTCCATGCAGATGACCACAATAACCTCAATAGTAAGCAACATGACCTCAGCTACAACCAAATTGATCCTGGTTACAGTTCCTCTTCTGGCTGTGGGTCTTCAGGAATCAGATTTTTAACTTAAAATAAAGAAATATTAAATGTCAAAATTAATTTATAGGATTTTTTTTTGTTATTATCTGTCACTTACTTTATTAGATTTAAAATCTGCAGAATATGGAACACCATCTCCACATGCGGATACCTCTTCCAGCCTCCAAAGGTCCTCAAGACCTCGTCCAAGAACCAGGATTAAAAAAACCAACTCATCAACCATTAGTTTTACAATGGCCGGTCTTCTGCGCGGCAAGCAGGAAATCCTGCTGACGGAAACCGGTTTCCGGAGTCATACGGCTGACCGGAGCTCCGACTGTGATAATATAATCCTGCATCCGGGCACTAGTCGGCTCCGGGAGCGGAGAACTAAAGTGAAACAGAAGAAAAAAGGTTTGAACTGTTTGCACTGATTGGTTAAGTTGAGTGTGAAGGAAAGTGTAACGCCATTAAGTGTGGGAATTTTAGGAATTTGTTCAGCCTCATCTTGAGAACTTAGCAACAAACCTCATTTTTCTAATCCATAAAATCACATTCAAATTTTAGGAATCTGTTCAGCCTAATCTTGAGGACTTGGCAACAAACCTCATTTTTCTAATCCATAAAAATCACATTTAAGTTTACATATTAAAAAAAGTTGGAGCTTTAGATTTCAAAAAAAAATTTCCAAGAATAAAAATGAAGCAGGGTAGAAGAAATTAAATATGCATTGAAACAAAACATGATTTATGGTCGGCTATGTGAATATGAGAGATGGGTTGGGATGGCTGGCACTGAAGAAACTTTTGATTGTATTTAAATAGAAATCTATCATCTGCATCCAATTCTTTTTGTTCTAAAACCAATTCTAATTCGTGCATATATATATTGGTTTTGGATTAGGGACTATTCGAAAATTTAAGGAATTTTATCTTTGAACATTGATTTTATCTTGTTCACATACACCTTGAACATTCACTATTCATATATTCACTCACTCACTCACTCACTCACTCACTCACTCACTCACTCACTCACTCACAGTAATCTCTGTAAAACTGTTAATCCGAGTATCTAATTATCTAGAAATTGTGAATCTCTAGAAAAAGTTGACAAGTGATCTGTAGGTTCTATGTTATTAACATATTCTCATGCCTTCGCGTCATTTTCAAGGCCGGGGTGAGGTCTTTCAGGCATAGGTAGGTTGTCTTCATGTCTGTGTCTAATATTTGTGTTTCTACTTGTGTCTGTGCTAGACATTTTCTGTAAGTCTGTGTCTGTTGCTTTAAGTGTCAAATTTCTTTGTCTAATAGTGTCTCATGTCTGATATTTGTTATTTTTTACTCATAATGTCTATAATTCAAAATGTTTAACTTTAAGATGTTTAATTTCGAAAATGTTTTATGGGTCAGAACCAATCTTCAAACCTTCAATTAAACTGGAACTTAAATGTATACACTTATGATATGTATTTAAGTATATTTATTATATAATAATATAGATATTATTAATTTTTTAGATTTCTAAAATTTGTTTAATTTTGATTTAATTTTAGAAGCCTTGTTACAACACAGACCTCTGCCTGATGTTCCATCTTCTACCGGGTAAACTTTTTATTTTATTCACTGTTCTACCCATTATTTCATTCATTTTATTCATTTCTTTCTAGTATTCTAATATTCTAATATTCATTCATTCATTCTTTCATTGTAATTAATTCGTTAATTTTATCCTTTTTTTTCATTCTAATGTTGATTCTTTGATTTATTAATTGATTTATTAATCTATTTATTCATTCATTCATTCATTCATTCATTCATTCATTCACCCTTTTATTCATTTATTCATTTATTCATTTATTCATTTATTCATTTATTCATTTATTCATTTATTCATTTATTCATTTATTCATTTATTCATTTATTCATTTATTCATTTATTCATTTATTCATTTATTCATTTATTCATTTATTCATTTATTCATTTATTCATTTATTCATTTATTCATTTATTCATTTATTCATTTATTCATTTATTCATTTATTCATTTATTCATTTATTCATTTATTCATTTATTCATTTATTCATTTATTCATTTATTCATTTATTCATTTATTCATTTATTCATTTATTCATTTATTCATTTATTCATTTATTCATTTATTCATTTATTCATTTATTCATTTATTCATTTATTCATTTATTCATTTATTCATTTATTCATTTATTCATTTATTCATTTATTCATTTATTCATTTATTCATTTATTCATTTATTCATTTATTCATTTATTCATTTATTCATTTATTCATTTANTAGACAGAACAGTGCAATACAGAAAGATAAGTACAATACAGGCAGAACATTAAAATTTAGACTAAAACGAAACTAATCAATCTAAAAAAATCTAAAATTTAAAAAAAACTTAAAATAAAATAAAAAATAAAAAATTGTCAACTATATGTCAAGAACGTAAACTAACATATAGAACGTTAAATTTTAAACTTAACATGTTTAAATATTAAAATCTTTAAAAAAAATATAGACAATATCGTACAATACAGAACAGTTTAATACAGAGCGATAAAGTTGACCCATGCAATAATACAATAAATCTGTTGAATACTTTACATAAAAACTCCACTCAATGTTTTAATCCATTTATCTATCTATCTATCTGTTAACATTATGTTTCTATTCTTATCTATCTATCTATCTATCTGTTAATATATTTCTACTTTTATCTATCTATCTTTCTATCTGTTAATATATTTCTATTTTTATCTATCTATCTATCTATCTATCTATCTGTTAACATGTTTCTATTTTTATCTATCTATCTATCTATCTATCTATCTATCTATCTATCTATCTATCTATCTATCTATCTATCTATCTATCTATCTAATCTAGATGGACGAGTAGGGAGAATCTATTGGTAGGTCTGGAGGTAGATGGAGATGGTGAAGAGGATCCTCAACTGTTTGTTGCTCTCTATGATTTCTTCTCCGGTGGGGAAAACCAGCTTAGTCTTAAGAAGGGGGAACAGGTAGGACGAGTTTATCTCGAAGATGTTTTTGACATATTTGATTGACAATTTGTAAAAATAAGACAAATAGGACAAATAAGACAAATAGGATAATAAGGACAATTAGGACAATTTGGACAAATAAGACCAATAAGACAAATAATACAATAAATAGGACAATTTGGACAAATAGGACAAATAAGACAAATAGGACAAGTAGGACAAATAGGACAAATAGGACAAATAGGACAAATAGGACAAATAGGACAAATAGGACAAACAGGACATATAAGAAAAATAGGACAAATAAGATAAATAGGACAAATAAGACTAATAGGAAAAATAAGACTAATAGGACAAATAAGACTAATAGGACAAATAGGACAAATAAGACAAATAGTACAAATAAGACAAATAAGACAAATAGGACAAATAGGACAAATAGGACAAATAGGACAAATAGGACAAATAGGACAAATAGGACAAATAGGACAAATAGGACAAATAGGACAAATAAGACAAATAATACAAATAATACAAATAATACAAATAGGACAAATAGGACAAATTTTACAAGTATAACATTTTCGAAAATTTAGACATATTGGACCTTTTTTACCCTTTTTGGATATTTGAGACAGATAGAATATTTAGGACTTAAAATGCAGTTTGGACAATTAGGACAATCTGGACATTATGGACAATTTGGATATTAACGACAATTAGAACATAAGGGATAGATAGACAAATTTAGTGATTTCTTCTCCGCGCGGGGGGGGGGGAGAACCAGCTTATTCTTAAGAACAGGTAGCTTCACAAGTTCATCTTAAGATATTTTAGACCAATTTTTCAATAAGGACAAACAGGACACATTCGACAAATATATGTTAAGATACATTTTTTTCAATTAGGATTAATAGGACAAAAACGTAGAACAATTTAGACATATATGACACTTATTATTAGATTTTTTTACCCATTTTAGGACATTTAAGAAATACAGAATTTTGAGAACTTGAAATGGACAATTAGGACAATTTGGACAATAAGGACAGATAGGACATTTTGGATAATTTGGACAATTTGGACAATTTGGACAATTTGGACAATAAGGACAGTTAGGACAATTTGGATAATTTGAACATTTTGAACAATTTGGACAATTTGGACAATTTGGACAATTTGGACAATTTGGACAATTTGGACAATTTGGACAATTTAGACAAAATAAGACAAAATCAGACAAATAGGACAAAAATGTAGAATTATTTGGACATAAATAACATTTTCGAAATTTTGGACATTTTAGCCTACATAGGACATATAGGCCTTTTTGGACTTTAAGGGCATTTTGGACCATTTTGGACCATTTGTACCATTTGTACATTCAGGACATTGAGGACATTCAGGATATCAGGACAAATTGTCAAAAATTACTGAAATGAACAAAGTAAATAATCGGAATTACAACCATGTATTCGAATTAATAAAAAAGAAAAAACTTGTTAAAAAAATTAAAAAATAATATTTCTGAGAAAATACATAAAAAGCGAAAGTAATAAACATTTTTTTTAGAATTTAACTGAACTGACAATACTGAAAGACTAATGATTTTGTTTTATAAACAATGAGTCTGTAATTTTATATCCAATTTGACACAAAATAGAAAATTAATGAATTAGGCCCTAGCCTAAAACTATCAGCTGTTTGAGAAAATGTTAAAGAATGGAATTGAAGTTGATTATTATTGTTATAAAATGTACATTCATTGTTCATATTTACTCTTAGTAATCTTAGTTTGTTCCTCTGATTCACTTCACATCCTTGAAACTTGAGTCTGGGAATAGATCTAAGAAATCATCTTTTTTGAAGTACCATTGAAATTGGAGTACCATCGGAGTACCATCGGAGTACCATCGGAGTACCACTTTTCTTTCTGTATATCTATCTATCTTACTATCTACCTATCTTTCTCTCTGTCTGTCTTTTTGTCTATCTGTCTATCTTGTACATCTAACTATATATCTCTAACTATTATTCTATTCATCTATCTATCTATCTATCTATCTGTCTTTATCTTTATCTGTCAGTATCTTGATTTTCTGTCTGTTTCACTGTTTGTTTTATCACACATTCTTGAAACTTGAGTCTGGGAATAAATTTAAGAAATCATCTTTATTGGTGTACCATTGAAGTTCCATTGGAGTGCCATTGGAGTTACATTGGAGTTCCATTGGAGTTCCATTGGAGTTCCATTGGAGTACCTTTGGAGTTCCATTGGAGTACCTTTGTAGTACCTTGTATATCTATCTATCTCTTTATATATCTATCTGTCTGTCTGTCAGATGTTAGATGAAAATACCAGGATATCATCAATATGTTGTTGTAACGTCTAACCTCCATCTTGAATTTAAATCAAAATTCTATCATCAACTTAAATCTTAAAGGGAGGGTTTGCATATTTGAGCCAAAGCTTAATGGGACTGTATACGCAATTTGAAGTGAGCCGCCATGCGAAGATGGCAATGCCTGATTTACAACGGAACCCTTGAAACCTTGATCTGATCAATAATGTGGAAGATACCGTCGTTTTCCTGACTCAAAAAGTGATTAATTCTGATAATTACTCCAAGAAAGTCGCTCTCACAGAGAAACCAAAACGAAAAAAAGACCCTCTAAATATATAAAGTCACAACGGTACCCTTTAAACCTTGATCTGAGTAACAATGAGTAAGATAGTGCGGTTTGTTGATTTTGAAATGAAAACTATTATGTCACTTCTCTTCCTTGTCTAAAAACTGCATAAATCCTTAAGTTTATTTTTAAAGAAACTACAGTTGAAAACTATCTTTTTTCAAAACTTTGCAACAAATGTTTTTTATTTGTGTAAATTTATCTTAGATTTCGATGTGGATATAAATCAATTAAAAAATACAATTTAAGAATTGAAAAACCATATGCGAGTATAATAAACTTTTTCAAGGATTTATTTAATGCTTCTATCTTTGTATCTTTCGGCAATTCCTAATCTTATCGCCGATGGTATAATTCAATCAATCATTTATTTTTGTTAAAAAAGTTGTGAAATCTCACAAATTCCTCTATTGTTTCTGTTGTAGAAATCCGAATATCTCTCTGAAAGGCGGAACAAATCCATTTTCAAAGTGAAAAACATCTCATTCATTCTTGACTAGGCGGAGCTTTTATGGGTACAGCTGTGAATCGGACATGTCCCCCCCTCTTCTACTTAGGCCCCTACTACCCCTCCCGCCTCTATGTTGCACCCCTGTGCACCAAATGTTCACAATTCTTTTTATCCCTCTTCAATGCCTCCTTTTCTTCCTTTTNAGATTATTTTCAGCTGTTGTTTTTCTACATAAGTGAATTTTTTTTTGCCAAAGAAACAATGGAGGAAATTGTCAGAATTTAACACCGTTGTGTAAATCAGACATGCCCGAGGGTCACTTGAATTATTTCAAAAATTCCATTAATGTTATTTTTATATTTTTTCTTATAAAATGTAAACATGTTATAAAACGAAACTATACACCCCTGAATATTGAATAAACATGATGCAACACTGACTATTTTTAATTAGTTAATGTTGAGTTGAGATTATTATTAATTTCTAATCACCTTAGTGGCAAACGCCCAACAGCTAATGACAGTTAAAACATACCTTCAAAGTGTTAAATAATTATGACTTAAAAAAAGCTTCCGGCTAAAATTCTGAAGATACCATAAAAGGGAGTGTTCGCAAAAAATTAAAGGTGGTGTAGGCGTACGTCGAAAAATATTCGATGGTGATTGCTACTAATCTTATTTCTATCTGTTGCGTCTATTAAGAGAATAACGTAGCGTCCATACAAATTCAGAAACGTGCAATATTCCACTCGGATCGTAAAAAATCAATTTAATTCCAAACAAATCATTCAGATATTACAACCTATAATCATAGATTATTTTTTCTACGCATTCGTATATAGTTGATATTGTATAATATATTTCATTTAAAGGGTATCGGAAGGTCACTTAAAATTCCGTCAACAGCTTTAAATTGAAATGTAAAAAAGTAGGTTTATCGTTTACAAAACATTTAATTTCTATGTCAGTAAGAAAAGAACCCTGAAATAATGTGGTAACTCGACAGACTATTTTCTAATGGCTTTTAGGTGTCCTCTAAGTTATTATAGAAACCTTATCACATGTTCGGAAATTAAACATTTTTCCATTAGCTAGAGATGTAATTTGCCTGGTTTCCAATTTGTCAGTGTGTTTTCAGGTAATTTCATAAATCTTGTTGGGTTCATGTTAAACCATTTATTGACAACAATAGCATTACATTCTTCTATTTTCTGTCGTCTTCCAATGGTCGTTAGTACCCCAGGGGTACCCACACAGAATGAGACTTTAGAAACGTCTTTAGTTTTTATTCTTAAATTAAAGGTTTCCTGCAGCAGTAAACTTTCTTTGCAATATCATTTAATTATTAATATGCCATTAAAAGACAATATTTAATTATTAATATGCCATTAAAAGACAATATTTAATACAGAAACTGAATTAAATCTTCAGTGTCCGAATTTAATGAATCTGAGCCGCGTCCTAAATCCGCCAAAAACCGGTTTCGGTTGAACGCCGGCCTAAATCTTGAAGCAATGAATACGATTTTAAGTGGAACCAACCATATTTGAGCCGCGGCTCAAATTCTTTAAATTCGGCCTCAGGTGATATATTTGACAAGTTTCAGGTCGCCGGTAATGTATCATTCTTTGTAACCCTGTAGGTGACGCCACCGTCCATTTGTATTTATATGCCGATTTTTTAAGTGTTGGTACTCTTGCTTTTTTTCAATATTTAACGTCAAGAAATTGAGTCTTTGCCACACACTCTGATTTCCTAATCCCTATATCTTTGCCTCCCAATGGTGAAGATCTTGGATATTTCAAACCACGAGATCTGTTAGATCATATTATTTAAGTTTTTACACAATTAGGTTGCACATATTTAGAGATTAGAAAATTTAAGTTATATTTTAAATATTCGAATTTTAAATTTGATTGCAGCAATCAATGTCATTATATGTCAGGCATATAGCTCCAATTAATGTCAGTGTAGGCCTTACAAGGCTTTCCAAATATAAGGCAGTCTATTTTATAATTTCGGAATTTATTTTTTCCCATTTTCACACCTTCAAACTAGTACTTCTGTAGCCTTAAAGGTGGCGAAAACGTATTTTTAAGTCACTCTCCAATTCCATGGAAAGATAGCAATGACCGATTTACAAAGGTACCCTTGAAACCTTAATCTGATGAATTAGAATAGAGTATGAATTAGATATCCATATTATGTATATTTGAACTGTTTATTTTCATATGCGGCTTCTCTGTGAAAGGGACTTGCACATTTCTTGCTTATAAGAAACAATAGATAAATTCACAGAAATAAACAATTTTTAAGTCAGAAAAAGGACAGTATCTTCCACATTTTTGATCAGATTAAGGTTTCAACACTCTAGTATGCCGAGTCCATTAGCGCCTGATCCAATCAGGGTTCAGTCATGTGTTTGGTGTTTATTCTGAACCAATAGAAAAAGTATGGCGGTAACATCTGTCTTTCTATCTATATCATTATCCAATTTTAAATTCTTATATCGGCACTAACAGTAAATGGAAATATTTACTTCTACTGAAACTATAGTAAAGGGTACCGTTGTAAATCGGAGATTGCTATTTTTCCATGGAGGGTCACTTGCATTTACGCTTACAGACTCTTTTTAAAAAGAAACCATCCAACATCCAACCTCTTGAGGAGCTAAAATAGAATTTACACCTGGAATGGAAAACAAGAGAATGAGATTTAAAATTGATATTTCAGCAAAATAATGTGATTGTTATATATAAAAACAAAATCTTGTCATCCCCATAGATAAAGATAGATTGCGCATAAGACGACATTTTTCATCTTGAAAGATATAAATGTACAGAGATGTTTTAAAGATATTCCTATTATATAGATTAACTAGGTCGGTTGTGAACATTGGCTGTTCTTATGTCATTGAGTATACTGTATCCTTATCTTGGTGAAGAAATTTAAGTTAGTTTATTCCTTCTCATGTCCTTCTTCAGTTCTCGTCAATATGATATATTGCTCAGGGAAATAATTTGATATTCTCAAAATAAAATCCACTCCTGAGTGGTTTAATAATTATGAAATCCAATAAAACAACAACCCACCCCGCTTATCATTGAAGTACACTTCGACCCCTAGAAGTATGAGTTCGCAGACTGTACAATTCTTGGCGATTTTGCGTACATAAGCTATCTTGTTTTACACATATTTTTAGGTCTTCTATCTATCAAGCTATCTATCATTTTATATATACCAATCTACGGAATATGGTTGATCGCTTGTTAGTTAGTTTTTTGTTTTTGTTATGTTTTTATCTATCTATTTCTCTATCTATCACTTTATATTATCTATCTATCAAGCTATCTATCACTTTATTTGTATCTATCTATCCTATCCTATCATTATAAACTTCATGGCCTTTCATCTTCCCATTTCCTATCCCTGTTCTATCACAGATATATCCTCTAATCTATCTGTCTATCTATCTGTCTATACACACTTTATTTATAAATTTAGTATCTATCTATCTGTATACACTTTTATTTTATTTAGTTATTTATCTATCTATCTTTCTTTCTATCTGTGCACTTCATTTATATATATATATATTTTTTTTTATCTGTTTATACATTCTTTGCATTTCTATTTTTCTATCTATCTATTACCTATTTAACTATCACGGGCAGCCGTAGTACAATTGAATTTCCGAGCCGGGTCAACCTTTCCGATCCCAGTTTGTACTGTATCGCCCGGACATGGGGTAAATAAAGCAGAAACTCGATAGGACTAGCCGGTTCAACAAGGTTGACGCAGTTAGATTTTAGGTTAAATTTACTTTTACTAAAGGGTCATAGGTGCGTGCTATAACATTAATCAGTGCAGGCTAAGGGTTTCATAGTTTATTAATAAACAATGTTTTTTAATAAACATGGTTATTCGTTTATGTATCCATAGCCTTCTGTTATGTACTTAAACACTTAACCTTCAAGTGTGTTTGCAAAATTCTGTTTTTATCTTCTGTGTGTGTAAAGACCCGATTTATTTACAGTTTTGCTCAAGTGCCATTTTATCTTCGTAGAAAGGTAATTTTATAAAATCCTTTATTTTAAGATCTGAATTCCTGATTTATAAAATTGTCCTTTATTAATGTTTATTTAAGTAAAAATGAAAAGAAATCGTAGTTTTTTTTCTTACAAAGGGATAAATTCGGTAAATTTTTTCATCCTGTGCTGCAAAAACGCAAATCTAAAGAATAACAAGGACAGTCGAGACAAAAGTTTATAAGGTTCTGTTGTAAATCCAGCATGTTTACACTGTAATTGTTGAAAAGGAGATTGACTTGAAATTGCGTTAACATTCCCTTTATGTTGCATAAATTTGTTTTACTTCTGTGTTTTTGTCTTTTATCAGTGCATTTGCTCATATTTTTGCTTCACTGTTTCTTAACCACAAGAAACCACTAATGAAAATAAACAATTTAAAGAAACAAAAACATGGATATCTAATTTATACTTGATCAGACAAAGCTTTTAGGGGTACCGTTGTAAATCGGACATCTTGGCAAGGAGGGTCACGTAAATTACGCTTACAGTCTCTTTAAATGTGTTTTGACTTAGTTTTTTTCTTCCTTATTGTGTGTTGTTAGTGTATGTGTGTAACGACAATATAAATCAAATTAATAGTTCACACACGAACATGATTTTGAGCTCACACACAAACATACACACACAGACACACAAACATACACACACAAACACATTCACAGACACACAAACACATTCTCCCACCTCCACACACACATTCACAGATATGCAGGTAATCTTCGAAATATTTTATTGTTTTTGTTCAATGATGTACGAACTGAAAATTTTTTAAAACTAGAATTTGAAAATTACATTATTTTAGATTAACTAAGATGTCCAACTATTTTTTTTATTTATGGAAATAGGAAACCCTTTAAAGGGACTGTTAGCGAATTTCAAGTAACCCTTGATACAAAGATGGCAATGCCCGATTCACAACGGTACCTTTGAAACCTTAATCTGATAAATAATGTGGAATATATTGTCGTTTTTCTAGGATTTTCTAGGAGGGCTACTTGAAATTTCGTTTACAGTCCCTTTAATTGCATAAAAACAGTTGCAACGAAAAGTGGACGATTGAAAAGCATGTTAAGACAGAAGGGTATAAAACCTAAAGAATCTTGATATGAACACAGGCATATTATAGACCAATTTTACTTGACTTAAATGCTTTTTGACGTTTCGTGCAACTACTACAGACAATCAAACAGAAAAGTAAACCGACAGGTTATTTTAGATAAATATATTAAAAATGTATAATTTTCAGGTTCGAATCCTCTCGTACAACAAATCTGGAGAGTGGTGCGAAGCGCACAGCGTGCATGGGAGTGTTGGCTGGGTGCCCAGCAACTATGTGACCCCGGTCAACTCACTTGAAAAACATTCCTGGTACCACGGACCTATCTCGAGGTGAATACTAATTTACGATACTGCTTTTTGGAGCGTTAAAATCTCTTTTTAAATAAATCTCCATTTTTTCTATCCATCTATTCTACTCATCTTATCTTATCTTATCAATCTATCCAATTATTCTACTATCAATCTATCCAACTATTCTACTACTCTACTACTATTCTGCTATCCTACTATCCTACTATCCTACTATCCTACTATCC